GGGGGAAGGGTGCCCCCGGTCCCTGGAGCCCCACAGTCCGCCTGGCCCAGCCTTTGGGACCCGTGTGGCGGAGGACGGGCCTCTGGAGACGCCCTCCCAGGTTCCTGGCCTCGCTTATGGCCCAAACCCAGGGAGTCAGGCTGATGGGGCCCTGCTCTTCTCCTCCTCCCCTGACACTCGGCTCTAGTCCAGCCAGGAAGGTGTTAGCAGTCAGGCTGATGGGGCCCCTCAGCACCCTGGACCGTCCCGTCTGCTCCTCTCGCTGCTGAAGCCGGGGCTGGGCCTCCCTCCTCCAGGCCCCCGCACCCTCCCCTCCTCCTGCGCTGTCCACTCTGCTACCTGGCCCTGACCCCCACCCCAGCACCTACCCCGTCCCTGTTCCCAGTGAGCCCCTGGAGGCTGACGGGTTAGCAGGAGGCCTGGACATGGGGCCCTCCCAGGGACACTTGCTTGCAGTGGGGACCCCGCAGCTCCACGAAGGGGCGGCTGTGATGTGGACCGTAGGCCCCCCTGATGGGCCAGCCACGGAGGCTTTTCAGGCACAAGGTCTTTTCCATGCCCCCCAGCCCAGCGCGACACTGGTTCTAGACACAGAGCCACACGCCTCTCTCTGGCCTGTGGGCCTGTGGGCACCACAGTTGACTCCGAGCTCCAGGCACCCCTACCTCCCTCCAGAGGCCGCCCAGGGTCCTTGGTGCCCACTCCTCCGCTGCCCACCTAGAGGCCTGGGCAAGGAGCAGCCCAGCCCCGCACTCCCACACGGCCCCTTCCCCCCACAGACAGGAGCCAGGGGTCCTGGGCTCAGGCCCTGCTGCAGCCCCTGCCTGCTACAGGAGCCTCGGTATCCACATCTATAAAGCAAGAGGGTTGACCAGATGGTCTCAGGGTGACCTTCCGCTCTGAGGCCCTGAGAGTCCATTCCTCCCATGCCCAGCCTCCCCATCCCGCCCCCACCAGTGCACCCTCCTACTCCAGGCCGTCTTGGCTCTAGGGTCACCCTGCTCCATCCTTGGGCTCTGCCACCTGGGCCCGAGCCCCTGCCCCGGCCGTGGGAAAGGTGAGGAAGGTGATCTCACCCCTGGGCGCACCCACTGCCCAGCCTCTCCCGCCTGGGAGCAGGTCATGCATGCCGGTCCCTCCTGCCGCATGGGGCTCCGCAGCCCGCTGAACGTCCTGTGCCTGGGCGTGACCAGGCCCCACCCTGTCTGTGCCCGGCACCGCTCCCTTCCTGTCATGCATGATGGTGGAGTTTCTACACTGTCTGGTCCTGTGCCTGTGTCTGAGAGTCTCTGTGTGGAATTTGCCTTAAACTGAAGTAAATTTGGTTCTTTTACTAAAGTTCCTTGTTTTCCTTTCTCCCGAGACAAATAGCACAGGGGTTGCTGTGTGAGAGAGTCCACGTTCTCGTCTCTCTTTCTCTCTTTCATTCTTTTGTTCAACAAGGATTTATTGAGCAACTGGTACGTGCCGGGGTCTGTGCTAAGCACTGGGATGCAGCAATGAACCAAGCACAGACCCCGTCTCCGCATGGAGCTTACAACAGACACAGATAGGACAGGAAATGTCGTGAGCACACAAACACATAGGCAGACAACGTAATTTCGGGTGGTGATAAGTGACAAACAAAATTTTGAGAGAATAAGAGGAGAGAGAGTAACAGGATGATCTTTTATTTTATTAATCCTCACCCAAGAAAATTTTTCCATTGATTATTAGACAGAGTGGAAGGGACGGGGAGAGACACAGAGAGAGAAGCATCACTGTGAGAGAGACACATCGACTGGTTGCCTCCTGCATGTGCCCTGACCAGGGCCAGGGATCGAATCTGCAAGCTAGGTACATGCCCTTGACCGAAATCGAACCCGCGACCCTTCAGTCCATAGGCTGAGGCTCTATCCACTGAGCCAAACCAGCCAGGGCCAGGGTGATATTTTAGATGAAGTCGTCAGTGAGGGCCTCTCTGAGGAGGTGCAGTTGAAGTGAGTCCTAAAGAAATGAGAGAGGGAGGCAAGGGCAACAGCAAGTGCAAAGGCCCTGAGGCGGGAGCCTGCTGGTGCGTTTGGAGGACAGCAAGGAGGCCAGTGTGGTTGGAGCTGCAGTAGGAGGGCTAGTGTAGGAGACCCGGTCAGGGAGCTGAAGAACAGGACGCATGGTAAGGCCTCGGCGTGACTCTCACTGGAGATGAAAGAGGTAACATGGCCAGATTGTTCTCTAAAACAAGTGGGAAAACAAACAAAAAACAACAAGGACTTTATTTAGACTTTAACATGTCCCCTTCCCCGAAATCGTAGCTCTATCTTAAAAATAAGTAAAACAAGTGAGTCACTTTATTGCACTTGATCATCCATTCACTCATCTTTCAACAAGTATTGACTGAGCGTTAGTGCGAGGCCCCACTCAGGGCGGAGACCCTGACTCACACAGTTGCACCCTCAGGGCGCTGCCCTTGCTCTGGAGCAGTGGGCAAGGGCCTCCTACTCCCTGGGGTCCTGAGGCCAAGCCAGTGGGCGGGGCCAGGGTCTGTGGGCACCGCGGACAACTCACAGGCCATGTGCCAGGGTGAGTTACTGCTCCTCCGTGCAATGGCACCATCACTCCTCCCTCCCAGGGTTAGGGTGTGGCCCGACGAGTGATATGTAGATATGCACACATGCAACGTGTGCAGGGCACAGGACCTGCTGCTCTGCAGGTACAAACAGACACCTTTTCCTCCTTGTCCCTCTCCACATATGAATCCCCGAGGCCATCGGGGACCAGTCTGCTCTCAGATTAGGCCTCCAGAGAGCCGTTCGCGATCTGCACATCACAAGAAGTTTGGTACGGACTCTACCAAAGTGCGGGACTTGTTTACTTCTTAGGATTCGTAGTAACGTAGCTCATCCTGGCTGTCCCTGTAATTAGCTGCTCCTCTGACTTGCATTCCTATATGCTCGGGTGGGAACCCGACAGGGTCACAGCTTGGGAAGAGGGGCGTTCCCATAACCAGAGGCCCATTTCACCTCTCCTTGGGCGCTTTGGAGGAGATGCCCACCTGGCAGGGCAACTGAGGCTCAGAGCCACGGCCTCAGGGTGCCGAGAGCATCTTTACTGTGCTCAACACTTAACTCCTCTCCTGGGCTCTTTCCCAGGGTGTGTCCCATGGGACACTGGTTCCCTAGCATGGATTTTAGGAGACTGCCAGCTCTGAGCATCTCTCAGAAAATCCAAGTGGCCTTTAGGGTATTCAAGGCTCTGATAAGTCCTGCAGCAAAGAGAGCAGTTTGACTTGGTTCAACCCAGTGTTTTTGACCGTGGAGTCAGTGTGTGTGTGGGAGCACCTGATTGAGGGACTCAGCCTGGGAGATGGGGTGCAGACCCAGAGTCAGCCCACGGCTGATGTCGCCGCCTGCCACACATGCGCGGGTGTGTGTGCTTAGCTGTAGCACTATTACCAAGCAGACCAAGTTGTCTGGGAATTTCAGTGGAGACAATATCCCCGGTTCCCAGGCCAACACACAAGCCTGAGGCTTGCTCTCAGGAGGCCAGAGAGAGTGCGTAGATACAGGGGAGGAGAGATGGAGGCCTCTATTTGTTCTGGAGAGAAGAAAGGGCCTCGAAAGGGGCCCCTACTCCAGCCACGCGGGGAAGAGAACCACAGAGAAGAAAGAAGGGTGTTCAGAATTCACAGGCCCAGGTTCATGGCTCCGTGGTTGACCGTATTTGTGTTCCCTTGTTGGGCTGAGAGGTTTGTGTCTGACAGCTGGGGGAGGGCAGGCAGAGGAGGGAGAGGCTGTTAGGGTGAGGGGCAGGCAGGGTCGGGTTGGGGTACCTGGGCCCTGGCCCACCACCAGCAGCAGGAGCCCATTGGCCAGCAACCCCCCGCCCCAGCAGGCTGAGGCCTAAGAGCCTGATAGTCACTCAGGTGTGGCTGTGAGCCGGGCAGTGACCGTGGCATTGGGCTCTATTCTGCTCCAGACACGTAAGGACGCATAGAAACCAGCCCGCGGGCCGCCTCCCTCTTTCCCCTGTTGAGCCCCAGTCTTTCCACAGACCCCTGCGTACAGGGGACGCCCTGGACATGCATTAGCCCTTTAGACCTCACAGCAACCTGGTGGGGCGGCTCCGCCAGTGCCCTAGGGTCCCAGCCCGACTCTGCTCCTCGGGAGTTGCAGGACCTTGGGAAGTTACCTCGTGTTTCTCTAAGAAGTGAGGAAATAAGGAAAATAAAACGATGTCAACAGTAACTGTCACTAAAGGGCGAGATTCAGGTAACTTTCATTTTTTTCTTTTTAATTTTTTATTTCTAAAATGTCTTCATTGAGTACAAATGGAATCTGATAAATATGGATAGAGATAGAGATAGAGATGGAGATGGAGATGGAGAGAGAGCTAGAGTTAGAGCTAGAGATGGAGAGATAGAGATAGAGATAGAGATAGAGATAGAGATAGAGATAGAGATAGATGGAGATGGAAAGATAGAGATAGAGATGGAGATGGAGACAGAGATGGAGATGGAGATGGAGATGGAGATGGAGAAGATGTATGCTTTCTTTTTTAAGCAAAAAGACCTTGACCTTGAAACAGGGATATTTTAACCTGAGGTTCAAGTATGAAAGTGGATGCCCAGGGCTTTGAGAAGGTGTTGAGTCCCGACCGCCGGTCCCCAAATTGCCTGCACGTTGGAGGCACTTGAGGCTTTGAAAATACTACTGCACGGATCCTACCCCCAGATACATGATTTACTGGTCTGGACTTTGGCGGCCACCTAGAGCCTCTGCGGTTGGGGTTGGGGGGTGCTGCATCCCAGCTGTTATCTCCCTCCTCACCCCACTCCACCCACATGCTGAGGGCGGGGGGCACCTGATTGAGGGACTCAGCCTGGGAGATGGGGTGTAGACCCAGAGTCAGCCCACGGCTGATGTCGCCGCCTGCTGCCTTGCAGGGCGGGATGGACGCCCTCCCACCTGCAGTGGGGAGAGGCTGGCCCGTAACTCATCAAATAAATATTTCCTAAGTGTCAACCCTGAGCCAGGTGCTGGGGATCTGGCAACAAACAAGACAGCGCAGTGAGGTCCTCATTCCAGTTCCCACCCCCTTTCTCCTACAGTGGGGACAGGCCTGGAGACCCTCTCCAGCTGGCTCAGAGCCAGGGCTGCGGGTCCCCGAGCCCACTGCAGAGCCTGCCTAAGAACCTGCTTGGTCCTACTCTCCTTTTCTTTCTTTTTTTTTTAATTAATTTTTATTGAGTTTTAGAGAGAGGGGAAGGGAGAAAGAGAGAGAGAAACATTGTGAGAAAGAAGCACTGATTGGTTGCCTTCCACATGCACCCCGACTGGGGATTGAACCCAAAACCTAGACATGTGCCTGACTGGGAATCGAACCAGCAACCCTTCGGTGAGTGGGACGATGCTCAGCCAACTGAGCCACACGGGCAGGGGCTCACCCTTCTTTTCTTAATCAGCCTCAAGCTAAGCTGTGACCTGAGCCCCCTTGGCTGACATGCGCTGAGAGCTCACCGCTTGTCTGAGAGTCCACTCTGCAGTCTACCTGGAGTCCCTCCTGCTGCTGTCCCCGCCTGTCTCGTGCTGCTCCAGGGCTGCTGGGCTCTGCTCGCTGACTTGGAACCTGTGACACCGGGAGGCCAGGCCTCCACTGTGTGCTCTGCACAGAGGCTGGGGGTTCCGGGCAGGAGTGCAGGCCCTTCCAGCACCGTCTCCAGGCAGCTGCCTGAGCCGGGGCAGAGCCGAGAGAGGAGGGGCAGGCCCGGGCCACTTGTGCACTGGGTCCCCCAAAGGACGGGGCTCTGTCTGCTCTCCTGGCCCCCCAGGAGTCACACCCTGCCTGCCTCCTTAGCTCACTGACCCTCAGGACAGATGTCGCTGCCTGCCAGCACCCTGGACCCCAGAGAAGGAGCCATTAGCCAGAGCGGGACTTGCCCACCCCTGTCCAGGGCCAGGCATCCCTCACTACAGCCCGGGTCTTGTGTGTCTTGCTCTGAGCACTACAGCCTAGACCAGTGATGGCGAACCTATGACACGCGTGTCAGGTGACACGCGAACTCATTTTTTTTGGTTGATTTTTCTTTGTTAAATGGCATTTAAATATATAAAATAAATATCAAAAATGTAAGTCTTTGTTTTACTATGGTTGCAAAGATCAAAAAATTTCTATATGTGACACGGCACCAGAGTTAAGTTAGGGTTTTCAAAATGCTGACACACCGAGCTCAAAAGGTTCGCCATCACTGGCCTAGAGACTGCTCAGAGCGGCAGGCCGGCGGGCTGACTCAGAGGACCCGGGG